TGTTCGCAATTTGGACATAGCCGTTCTACATAACACTCATGAAACCAATTTTATATAAGCAATTGCTTAGACGAACGAATACAGTTCGTTCTTATATTTTAGATTTGAACTTTTGCTTCTTTTTTCTTTTCTCTTGTATTTCGACAAAAGTGAAGAACGATAGAATGAGAGTAAGAATAAAAACGATGAAACCAATTATATAACTTCTGTTGGATAGATTGACTACATTTTCTTTCATTGATACAGTTGTCAAAACAATTGAAATATTTTTTTCCCAAGAGATATTTAACACTTCGGAGTTCAAACAAAAAAAAACAACAACAAGTAACTATTATAGTTTTCATTTCAGATAGATTAGTAACGAATTATTATTCATTATAAAACAAAGATGAACACAACCAAAATACTTTATTCCACTGTTTTTATTCTTGTTGTCTTTGCATTTATTTTTCATGTTACTGCTATGGGTTATCATCATTGGAAAAAAGCAATTGCAAGGATACCTAATGCAGGTCGCCGTAATGAGACAACTATTGGATTGTTTACACGATGTATACCATCGGCAACGAATCGAACAGAAATATGTTTTCCTAATAAATATCCAATGAATGTTAGCTGTGATTGGACTGATTGTCTACCAAGAACTTCAAATGGAGGTTGTCAATGTGATTTTTTACCGTCGACAAAAGGTATTGCAGTATGTACAATAATAGCTTCAATTTTTCTTGGTCTTTCGATTATTCCTCTATTTATTCGTTCGATAAATACAAAAAAAAAAAATTTAATAGGTGTATGTCTTAATTTTTTTCCAATTGTTTTACTTTTATTGGCGTTCATACTTATACTTGTTGCATTGATTCTTGTTGGAAGTTATTTATCACGAGATATAATGCATGCTATTCGAACACGAAATATTGGTATGTACATCTTAAAGAACAATGAAAAAAACAAACTCATAAAATTTATAGTTATAAAATATCAATGATACATAGAATAAAAAAAAAGGATTGTTCTTTTCTAATTATAAGATTCATTTCCAAAGTTCCCATGTAAAAAAAAGGTCGTCAAAAATCAAGATTTTAATCAATTTTTTTAATTAAAAATCGGTTAAAAGGAGACGATTTTCATCGAATTTTAATCAAATTAAAAATAAAAAAACAACTGATTTTAATCGATTTTTTACAGAGTAATCCATTAAAATCAATTTGATTTTGATTTTGAATTTGATTAAAATCCGATGAAAACCGTCTCATTTTGATCGATTTTTAATCAAAAAAAAAAGATTTAAATCTATTTTCTACCGAATAATCCATTAAAATCAATTTTATTTTGATTTTTAATTTGATGGAAATCTGATGAAAATCGTCCGATCATAATCATCATTAATTTCTTCGCATCTATTAACTGTGCTCATATGACTCTTCACTTTTTATCTGCGTGCATTACTTCAACTGAATCATCCATTTAAATCTCTCATTACCTGTTAATCGATTTTCTTATGAAACCGCGAAAATTTGCGACTTACTCGAGATTCGAACACAAAACCCATATTTTTCGGCCACTTCTTCTTATTTCTCGTATTTAGAAACTATGAAGTTGCCGATGCACCAAACTTCGGCATCCAAAGTATGTTTTGAAGTCCTATTTAAATTGTTTTCTTCGAAATTGCGCAATTACATTCAAAAATCGATTAAAATCGATTGCAAAAAAAATAATTGATTATAATGAATTTTTTTCTAAAAAAAACAGCATTCATAGAAATATAATCGATTTTAATCGATTTTCTCTATGGAAAGATATTACCATTCATGCAGCTGTAATGGATTTTAATGAATTAAATTTAAATAATCGATTTTAATCAATTTTACATGTGAAAAACAATCATATCCATAGAACTATAATCGATTTTAATCGTTTAAAGTTATCTTTATAAAAAATTGATTAAAATCTATTAAAGGACCCTGTCGGTTTTTGTCACCTAGTTAGAACAAGAATGTCCTGCATATGGTTTTGTAGAGAATTTAAAGGCGCATCGAATGGCATATAGGAAATCTAATTTTCATTGAGCCTTAATGTCCTAAGGACCCATATACTGCTCTTCATTCTATAGCACATAGCAGAGATGGAACCAGTACCGGTCTGGATTTTTATCGACCGGTCTGCCGGTCGACCGGTATTTCCCGGTCCAAACCGGTCTGACCGGCCGAAACCTATCTGACCGATCAAAATCGCCTTATATTGGCCTATATTTTTCACTTTCTGCTCTATGATGGTAATCATATGAAAATACAACTGGCAGCAAGACTAGTTCCACTGATCATACAAGAATTTATTTAAAAAACAGTTTTCAGAATGTCCATAAGTGAGACTATTGTTATCAATGGTGTAACATAATGCCAGTATGCGTGAAAGTACGAAAGTAGCCCGCAAGAGAGTTCACTATGAAACAAGATTTCATTTCAAGCCTCAACCTGTTGTGGATAAATCGATATTTTGTCGGTAGGTTGGATTTTCACTTGTAAACTGACGTATCGTCAGCATCCCGTTTAGTACCGGTAGACTAGTTTTGACCGGTAGACCGGTCAAACCAACTTTCTCCGATAAATCGATTTCGGTCGGTAAACCGGTCTGGACCGGTTTTGCCGGTCTAGACTGGTTTTACCGGTGGACCGGCCGGTCCGGTTCAGTCTGATTGCTTTGGACCGGTACCGGTACCGGTCTGAAAAAAACTAGACTGGTTCCATCTCTGTGGGGTACCGGAATATAGAAACATTTGCTTTTTTGCATTGAACGCAAGCTCCATATCGATTCTTTTACTGTTTCATCCATATACAACACCTATATCATTGGAAATGAAATTGACCAAAGAATTTAAAAAAAGAAGAGGATCACTATTTGCAACCTTATTCCCGTACCCCCCTCTGGGAGTCTCGGGGTCAAAATATTTTTTTCAATCTCCAAAGACCTTATTTATATTAAATGACGAGGCATACTTTACTGGTTATTTATACATATAATTTGTTACCAGGAGTACTAAATATTGCTAAGATTTTGTCAAGCTACCTGGACCATCATTAGTTAAAATAGGGTATTCCGCATCACCATTATATACATTATCAGTCTGGCCATACTGTTCCGAAAAAAATTGATTTATGACAGAAATAGAGGCCAATGATGTGCAGTTTTTGAGAGAGTTTCGCGTTGGTACTCAATTGTTCTGTGGCACAGGACTGAACACAGTGAAATATCATTTTCTCAATAAGTAGAGTATACCTATAGAAGGTGGTCGCTCTTAAGTATAACATAGTTCCATTGAAACTTATCGATTATAAAAAATTGAAAAGCATTCATAACTGTATTGAATTTTCTCTAGAGAAGGAAATAATCCTATATTTATGACCAAGGATCATAATAGCTCCACTATTTCTATATGCTATAGAATGACGAGCAGTATATGTGTCCTTAGGACATAAAGGCTCAATGAAAATTAGACTTCCTATATACCATTCGATGCGCCTTTAATTTCTCTACAAAACCATATACAGAACATTCTTCTTCTCACTAGGTCACAAAATCCGACAGGGTCCTTTCTAATCGATTATTTGAATTTCTTGAAATAAAATCGATTTTAATGAATTAAAGTTACCTTTATAAAAAATCGATGAAAATCTATTAGATTTCTAATCGATTATGTGAATTTCTTGAAATAAAATCGATTTTAATCGATTAAAGCTAGGGATGCACCAATTCCAGAAAATTGACCTGAAAGATGGCATTTTTGCGATATGAAGAGCCACCGATTCCGACCAATTTTTTGTGTTAAACTTGACTGCCTTCAATCGATCTACCTGTAGTAATTGCCGGATTCCACTAAATACGATTAATAGATGTTATAATTGGTCGGAATTGGTCGAAAATTTAGGATTTTTAGCCAATTCCGACCAATCTGACATCTTTTAATCGTATTGGGTGCAATCCGACAACCGTTACAGGTACAGCGATTCAAGATGATCAAGTTTAGCAGAAAAAATTGGTCGGAATCCGTGGTGTTTGGTATCGCAAAAATAGCATCTTTGAAGCCAATTTTCTGGAATTGGTGCATCCCTAATTAAAGCTATCTTCATAAAACCTCGATTAAAATCTATTAGATTTCTAATTGATTATTTGAATTTGTTGAAATAAAATCGATTTTAATCGATTAAAGTTATCGCCATAAAAAATCGATTAAAATCGATTATTTGAATTTCTTAGAAAAAATTCGATTTTAATCGATTAAAGTTATTGCCATGAAAAATCGATTAAAATCTATTAGATTTCTAATCAATTATTTGAATTTCTTGGAAGAACATCGATTTTGATCGATTAAAGTTATCGCCATAAAAAATCGATTAAAATCAATTACTTTCTTAAAATTAATCGAAAAATGTCGTATTTAATCGATTTTTTCTGATTTTTTTACAAAAAATCAAAATTAATCGAAAATTTCAAGATTAATATTTACATGGGTTCGATATAAACAAATTATAACTATTTACGACAAAAAAGTTTTTTTTTTATCAAATTTTCTCAATATTTTGTTTTTTTTTATTTTAGTTATCGATTTAGATTCACTTCGACAAACAGCTAGACGTGACTACGAAATACGAGTCGATTGGTCAACTGGATTGGAAATAATTGCCTTAGTTTTAACGTTCTTCTCATTTATTTTCTACAGTATCATTGTTTTTAAAATTGATCAACCATCACAAAAGGAAAGACTAAACAATAATAACATTAATCAAGACTAATAATTCCTAAAATAAATATATGTACTGAACTTTTTTTTTAATGCTACTTTACACATATTGCAGTGTATCACATGCTTTCTGTAATTTCGCTATATTATTTTTTATGTCATGTTCTTATTGTTTTTTACGAAAAAAAAGGTAAGATTTGAATGAAACTATACATATTTGGATTTTCATTTAGCAAAAATTACGAAATTGATAATGTTAAATCATGATATAAAATCATTATTGACTTTTAGTGAATTAATATTGTGGTATAATACTTTGGTAAGATGATATTGTATACTTATGTTTTTTGCAGTCAACATATAGTATAATTCAAGGTCAACAATATTGTCTTAACTTTATTAAAATACAACTGCCTAGAAATTATATTATAAAAAATATTTTGAGTATTTGTAAAAGCTACAAACTCATAAAGAATTTGAAACGAATAGCACACGGGCAAACATTTAAAGTAGTGCTTTTTTTTCAAGTGGAATATATCATTTTTCATGGACACAGACACCTACACTCTAAAAAAAAACGGCACTCTACCGAACCTTAGAAGTTCTGCATTTCTGCACCGAACTATTTTAGGTTCTGCGGAGCGCAAATCGTTTCGTGGTTTCCTTTCAGAACTTTTTTAAGTTCAGCACATTTCATAAGGTTTCGCGATTTTGCGACGGAACTCTTTGGAGGTTCCGCAAAGTGGTTTGTGGTTTGGTACATCACACACCAATCCTCTGATAGTTTCGTACCATGGCAGAAGGTTTTGTCATATGGCGACGGAACCACTGTTGGTTTCGTTATCGAAAGGAAGGTTTCGAATATTTTGTACGAAACCACTGATGGTTCCGTTAACGATCCGAAGGTTTGGTATTATTTGTGCAAAACTTTTCGACACTTTCTGGTCGGCTTTAAGGTTTCGTAAAATATCGACGGAACTACTAATGGTTCAGGAAACTGTCGAAAGGTTTGGAATATTTTCTACGAAACAGTTGATGGTTTGATAGAGGACCCGAAGGTTTGGAATTATTTTTGCGGAACTTTCCGACACTTTCTCGCCCGCTTTAAGGTTTGGTAATATATTAGCGGAACCACTGCTGGTTTCGTAGATAGTGTTTAGGTTTCGCATTTTTTGTACTTAACCCTTCGCCACTTTATTATCTCTGTCAAATTTTCGTATAGTTCGCACGAATGGGAATGCAGTTTAGAGCACTATCGAAACTTTGCTTGCTTTCTGTTAATAACGAAAACTGCAGTATTAGCTTTAGTAGGGGTCTTATTTCAGAATACGTATTTCCACAATAGTATAAAAGTCGCAGCAAAGTTTATTACTGACATTTGTAAGGTTCACAAAAACGCCTTGAAGAAATGACCATGCATACTTCACAAAAACAAATCAAAGTGACCAATCAAACCACGACAGAATTCGAACAACGATACAGAAAACACGAAGATTATTTAGGAAATCGGGAAACGGTTAATATAATATAGAGACCTTCCTGAACAAGATGTCCAGCAGTCAAACAAATACAAAAAAAGTTGCCGAAAGATTCAAAATTTGAGCAAAATGTTTTTTCAACGAATTATACATGGTTGGATAGAGCTCATCCAACTGAATAATCAAATCTACTTTAAAAAATTTTTGCTTCCTTTATTTCAATAAAAGAAATCAAAATACTTTCAGAGCTTCATCCTATATAAAAATTGCTTACCTGTCGCAAACGATGTTTTCTTCTCTGTTTTCTGCATATTCACAAGTTTATGAATATTGTTTTATTAATCAGCGTAAAAAACTGATTCTAATCGGTTATTTTAAAATGACGGATTATAGTTAGTTTTTTACGTTGATTAAAAAAACAGTATTCATAAACCTGTGAAGATGAAGAAAACAGTAGGAAACATCATTTGTGAGAAGTAAGCAATTTTTGTATGGAGTGAAGCTCTAAAAGTATTTTGATTTTTTTGTTGAAATTAAGGAAGCAAAAAAATTTAAAATAGCTTTTCTTATACAGTTTGATGAGCTCTATCCAACCGCATATAAATCGTTGAAAAAGCATGTTTTCTCAAATTTTGAATTTCCATCGTCTTATCAATCAACTGTAAGTTTGAATTTATAAAATAAGAACAAATAAAATAAACTTATTCATTTTCAGTTACAGGTTCATTCAAATATCCAAAATACGGATAAGTTCAATCTTAGAAAACAAATTAATCAATTATATTTTTATTATTATAGAATGACTAATATATGGAATTTCGGGTAAGTTCCATTTCCTGAAATTTAATCTATTTCGTTCTCTTTTATTATAGGTTGACCAATATATAGAATTTGAGAACGGTTAATGACACCGAATTTAATAACTTTATTGCTTATCTTATTATAGATGCATCAATATATGGTACTTTAGATATGCTTGATCTTAACAAACTTAAGAAATTTGTTGAGCTTTTGGTTATGGATCGATCTATATATGAGATGTCAGGTAAGTTTCATCATATTATATTTAATAATTTTGTCCATGTTTTTTTATTATAGACACCATTTATAAATGAAATTTTAGGTAAGTTTGGTCTTATGAAATAAAAAAATTCCTTCAGTTTTCTATTATATACCGATGAATTTATGGAAGATTAAGGGGTAAGTTTGATCTGGTAAAAATTAATAAATGTATTTTTTTATTATAGATTCGTTCATGTACAAGATTTTAGGTAAATTTGAATTCACAAAATAAACCAAATTCGACGTAGGTGAAGTTAGCAGCCGATTCGAGTGTTTCCAGCAACGATTCGCCCAGGAACCTGTTCCAATTGTTCCAGCCCTGTTCCAAGTACAACTCGATGAGCTCTATTCAATGGTGTATTCAGATTTTCCATAGTCCAAACAATGGTTCCAAAAATCCAAAAATACTGCATTTTCCTATGGAAATTCTGGCAGCCGATTCGAGTAATTCCAGCAGCGATTGGTTGAGAAACATGTTCCAAGCGTTCCAGCCCCGTTCCAAGTAGAACTCGACGAGCTCTATCCAATGGTATGCACAGATTTGCGATAGCTGAAAGTATGATTTTCAAATTCTCACTAACGTCATCTAATGGCCTAAAAATCATCCTTTCAGCTATCGAAAATCTGAGCAGACCATTGGATAGAGCTGGTCGAGTTCTACTTGGAAGGGGGCTGGAACGCTTGGGACAGGTTTCTCAACCAATCGCTGCTGGAATTACTCGAATCGGCTGCCATTATTTCCATATAGAAAATGCAGTATTTTGGGATTTGTGGAACCATTGTTTGGGCTATGGAAAATTTGAATACACCATTGAATAGAGCTCATCGAGTTGTACTTGGAACAGGGCTGGAACAATTGGAACAGGTTCCTGAGCGAATCGTTGCTGGAAACACTCGAATCGGCTGCTAACTTCACCTACGTACAAATTTGTTTAGTTTAATTATAGATTGCCTCAAAGATGCAATTTCGGGCAAGTTTGATCTTATGAAATTTAATAAATTTGTTTAGTTTTTTGTTCTAGGTTGATGTACATACACACTTTTAGGTAAGTTTTATCTTAGAAAATCAAAAGAATTATTCATTTTTTTAATTCTAGGTTAATCTCGATATGGAATTTAGGTAAGACTGATTCTATGCAATAAAATAAATGCCGTTATTTGTTTATTATAGATTGATTCAAGTACAAAAAAATGCAGTAAGTTTGATCTTATAAAATGATTATATTTGTTCATTTCTATATTATAGGTTGTTTCAATTATGGAAATCATCGATGGATTTGGTTTTAACTCTCTGATGCCGTCCGTGATATGCATAGTATTCGAGTATTTCTGAAAACCAAAGTATTGTATAGATCAAATAAATCAAAAGGGAGCGGGAATAGTCTATACAGTAATTTTTCTTCATTGATGCAGAACATCACTCTACAGACTATTCCCACTTACTTTTGATTTATTTGATCTATACCATACTTGGGTTTCCAGAAATACTCGAATAGTATGCACACCACAGACGGCACCAGAGAGGGAAATGAAATTTTTGACTGGGCAGAGAATTGGAAGAAGGTTTAGTGCAAATAGTTTTGTACGGAACCTTTTTTGAATTGTTTTATGTGCGGTATGGTACGACACTATTGGTACAAAACCTTTTCTTTGAATGGTTTTTGAAAGGTTTGATACGAAACCTTTTTTGAACGGTTTTTGAGAGGTTTCGTACGAAACCATTGCTACGAAACCTTTTTTTTGAATTATCAAAAAGGGGGTTGGTACGAAACCCTTTTTTTACGAAACCAAAAAGGATCTTACCGTGTATCGAGGATAAGATCCTTTTTAGGTTCTGTAAAAAACCTTTTTTTGTTAGAGTGTAGAAGCATGCTTGTATGTCGCTGATATAGACTGGCGGATTTTGATGTCCTTATTTCAGATTAGGACCAATTAAAATGTTTGAAACTTTCACAATAAACTAATCTCATTGAGATCTTTCTCTATGCAAAGTTTCAAGTCAAAATTCGAAACTCACTTTTTCTAATATCCTTGAATGAGACCACGGAAAATACTGTGAAAGTGCAATATCTCGGCAGCAATAAGCTGGCAGCACGGATCCTTTTCAGGGTATTCATAGTTTATTAGGATCTATATTATGCACATACTCCCGACTTGAAAGCGATTTGACAGTTGGAAAAGTTCCCTCGTCAATTCAATTCGAATAAGGTCTGAACGATTTCGTAGCTAATGATCTTTGTCAATAAACAATGGTAAGTTATCACGGCATTGTTGTTGTGTTAAAAGGATCTCTCTTCCTGTCCTCACGCAAAAAAAACTAGATGTATTGCATTACAGACGTTGCTGATATACGATCAAAGACTGTATAATGACGAAGATAGAGTTGCAAACTAAATTGAACATTTGGATTTTCT